CTTACAGTGCTCTCTGACTGGAAACATTAGTGTTTGTGCATTTCCTGAATTTCTTCTAGTCAGAAAGTTGAAATAGTTTTTAGCAAACATGTAACAATTTGAACCTTTTAACTTCAATGCGAGTGTAATTTTATTGATTTTATCACTATTTCTCAACCTTGATTGCCATGATGTGATGTAATTGCCTATATCTAAACTTCAAGAAGCTACAGGTTAGTTTCTTTGTAGTTAAGCACAAAATTACACAAAGAGCTATCTGTGCTCTGACCACCACGGGTATCGAAACCTGGTTTCTAGTGTTTTCAGTTCACAGACATACCGTTGTGCCACTGGGAGGCCTACAGGTTAGTGATCTAAACACATAATGAAAGCTCTTTCCTTTTGTAAGCCAATATGACATCCAGTTCAACAGACTCATGGAGAGATTGGAACAAACTGATAAAAGCTTAGTGTGCTAATGTGCTGCTAGAAGAAAAGATGTTTGTGAAAAACTTTTATCTCAGTTACAGTCCTGTATTTTTTAAAGCTTGTGAAAAATTTGCTTTATCATTTTGTGTTTCACTTGAATTATGATGTTACAGTATGATAAGAAAAAAAATTGTTCATGGAACAACATGAAGGAGAGAATTATTAGGCTTAGTTATATCATTTTATGCTGAACCATATCAATTTTGTTTCACCAACATGGCTGCTGTTTGTTAGGTCATATCAGCCAAAGTGATTGTTTGAATGGGTAAAGGCAATTACCGAAATGTGATTATAAAAAGAGCTTAAAAATTATTATAAACATTAAGTTAAAACTTCTGATTAACAATAAAAAAAAGTGAGCTTGCTAATAATTTTGAAATGCTCAAAAAGTTATTTTTATTCTTTGACAGTGATCATATGATCATAAACATGGAAATTTGTGTGGTATTTTTGGATCAAAACAAATATAAAATTTAGAATTTTATAGAATAAAAACTTTACTGGAAATATTCACCAGTAATTGAAATCTAAAACAATGGAATAAACATTTTTAATTGTTTCTTACAATGAAACATTTTAGAATAATGAACACTGTGAATTCATGCATATATATATGATATTTTGTTTTGTAGAAGCTTCGAAATCTTTACAAAGTTAATTTCAAGTTTCAAGCCATTTCATCCCATAGTTTTTGGTTTTTTTTGCAGTGCTGTAGTACAAACTATACAATAGTTGCGTAAGGTCAAGAACCAAAGCATTTAGGAGTTATAAAAAATTAAGTTCCTATTTTCATCAACAAAGCACATCCTTTTTAAATCTACTTTCATTTAACTAACCTTACACCTAAGGAATATTATTAAGTACCTAAAAACACATCTTCCACAGTTTTAAGTTACTAAAAATTACTCAGCTTTGTGTCTTGCTATATTTGATAACCTTACCTTATTATTTGGTAGAGTAAATATTTAAATAACCTGGTATTTTTCACAAACATTGTCTGTTTGTAAACATGCTCATTTACAATTATGAATGGAATAAAACTATATTTTAAAGATGTGATGAGGAAGCAGCAGCTAAAGCTCAGGCTCAGAAGGCACTACGAGAGATTGAAAACCAGCTGGTTGAAGTCCAGGAAGATTTAGAATCTGAAAAAATTTCCAGAATGAAAGCTGAAAAGCAGAAAAGAGACTTGAATGAGGTAAGATTCAAAACAAAATCCTTACTGTCATTGAAAACCCATATTACTTTTCTGTTTAATTTGTATATCATTTTATAAAGAGTTTCTTCCAAAAGTGAAAATATTGTTGAAAGAAAAGAACATCTAGTATTGAGAAGTTTAAGTTCTTGTTACATCTTCTGGTTATACAGTTCTGTGTTGTACGAACTAAAAACATATGAAATAACAAGATTTATAAACCAAGTAAAGCAAAAAGAAAATATTATTCATCAAGACTCATAAAGGAAAAAAAAAGTGGAAACTGTCTTACAGTACCATTCTTAGATAACTCTTGTTTTACAGATTATAAATACAGAACATATACTGTAAAAAATGTTGGTTTGTGTTCCCTTATGGAAAAGTTGTAAGTATTGAAAGCATTTTAAAACCATTTAAAAATATACTGTAAAAAATGCTGGTTTGTGTTCCCTTTTGGAAAAGTTGTAAGTATTGAAAGAATTTTAAAACCATTAAGACATATACTATAAAAAAATGTTGGTTTGTGTCCCCTTTTGGAAAAGTTGTAAGTATTGAAAGCATTTTAAAACCATTTAAAAATATACTGTAAAAAATGTTGGTTTGTGTTCTCTTTTGGAAAAGTTGTAAGTATTGAAAGCATTTTAAAACCATTAAAAAATATACTGTAAAAAAATGTTGGTTTGTGTTCCCTTTTGGAAAAGTTGTAAGTATTGAAAGCATTTAAAACCATTAAAAAATATACTGGAAAAAAAATGTTGGTTTATGTTTCCTTTTGGAAAAGTTGTAAGTATTAAAAGCATTTTAAAACCATTAAAAATATACTGTAAAAAAATGTTGGTTTGTGTTCCCTTTTGGAAAAGTTGTAAGTATTGAAAGCATTTAAAACCATTAAAAAATATACTGTAAAAAAATGTTGGTTTGTGTTCCCTTTTGGAAAAGTTGTAAATATTGAAAGCATTTTAAAACCATTAAAAAATAAATGACTTGTATTGCTTCAAAAGATAATTTTTACAATACTTTGGACTTGAGTTCAGCATTACCAGATTAAGTATAAGTACTTAAAACCATTTACATATACTTCTTACATTCATTTAAAAATTGCTGAAGCTCTGTTCTTAGTTAACAAGCTCAGAAATATAAGCACTACTTGATGTTACTTATTTTCAACAAGATTAGTTATCAGTTTTTATTAGTATCATTAGTTTCATCATTATCATTGATTTTATGAAAATGTAACTGATTGTTATTGTGTCCACCCAAGTTTCATAAGGCATACTAATGACAGAAAAATAAAGAATTACAATATTTAATAAACGTTTAAATGAAGATTTTTCAGATAAACATGTTTCATTAGGAACTGGAAGCTTTGAAGAATGAGCTGCTAGACTCGTTGGACACAACTGCTGCTCAGCAAGATCTCAGAACAAAACGTGAACAAGAGTTGGCCACATTGAAAAAAACTCTTGAGGATGAATCTTCTGCTCATGAAATCCAGCTAAGTGATATTCGACAGAAGCACAATCATGTCATAGAGGAACTTAATGACCAGTTGGAAGCACTTAAAAAGGTATTTATTGATTTAATATGAGAAATGGTACCTTTTTGTTTTTGTTTTCACATAGATGAAGTTTTGAAATCTTATTTTTGTAATTTGTAAATAAATATTTTGTTTGTGTTTATTCAGTTCTTTTCACATAAATTATATTTTATTTGGGGTTTTTATTTATTAACTTCACTTTTTTTTTTCTTTGTCTTCAAGGAATTGGAACATATAAGTTAACTATTTTATAGTTTTATTTACTATAGAATTAGAAATTAATTTTCTAATGTGAATATTTTTTATTGAGAAGTTTTAAGTTTTTTTGTGAGAGTGAACAAAGTAAACTCTTGTGCAGTTACTCTGTTTTATAGGTTTTTTTTTAATGTTAATAACATTTCCTCACTAAAGTTCCTGTTATATTTTACAGGCAAAGTCTTCATTAGACAAAATGGCCACCAACTTACAAACAGAGAATAATGACATAGCTGCTGAACTCAGAACTGTCACAGCAGCTCGACAAGAAATTGAACGTAAGAAGAAACAGTTTGAAGGTCAGGTACAAGAGATGGGAATGAGGCTAGCGGATCTGGAGAGAGAGAAAGCCGAAACCACTGAACGTGTACTAAAGTTACAAGTTAGTACCATTTCACTACAAACAGTGCTGTTGGTATTTAGAAATTTTGTTAGCATGTGGTGAATCAAGTAAATAAATAATTTTACTATTTTCTAATATAGTTCATTTTTGTCTTATATGAATAATGGGTATAATTTTTAGATATTAAAGTATTTTATGTTTGTTAAATTAGGATGTGGAAACTTTGTTAAAATGTGCATAAATATAGATTAAAAAACAACAAACAGACATACACTGTTATTCTATAAAAGATAAAAATATTAAATAAATTAATTAAGCTACAAATAATTTTTAACGTTAATACTTTTTATAATGTTCTTCTATAGATTTAAAATAAGCCAAATTTTTTTACCAGTTTTAAAGTAAATCTTGATATGTAGCTTTTACATAATTGGGAGTTTTTGTAGATTCACACATATTAAAGCATACCTCTTCTTTGCATAATAATGGAATACATTTCCTTGTTCAAAGAATCAGTATCATTGTTGTAAATTATTTGATTTATAATGTATATTCCGATGGAAAAATGCCCCCCAGTGCCACAGCAGTATGTCTGCAGACTTACAACGCTAGAAACCGGGTTTCGATACCCATGGTGGGCAGAGCACAGATAGCCCATTGTGTAGCTTTGTGCTTAACTTCAAAACAACAACAACAACTGATGGAAAAGATCATGATAAATATGCAAAAAAGATTTGTTTTGAAAACTTCTTAATAATAAAAAGTTACTAAAATATACCAAAATAAAGTTTGATTAGATTGTTTAATATCCCATAAAATATGAATTGAACTTGAATCATTCAGAATGAATGTAGTGACATGGTAGATTTCAGTGAAGCAGGCAAATTATTCATTGATTAAAATTGGCATGAAAGATAATAGCTGAGCTTGGAACATGGTATATACTTGTATGATTTGGATGACAAAGTGTGAAATATCATTAGGTATTACTGAAGCAAAATAATGAGTTTATATGAAACAGTTAAGTGTAATTATGATTGGGTTGAATGAAATAGGACATGTATTCAGTATTTGTTATATAACAAATTATAAATACAGGTTCAGTTAGATTTGCATTATGCAGGATATATTTTTATGGACCTTCAATTAAATAATTGTATTTCACTAAAATAGGATAGGTATTGAGTTATCTTGAATGCAGCCTGCTTGCTATTTACTGGACTTGAAACAGAATAGACATTGTCTGGTTTGCGTAAAATAGGATAGACATTGATTAGGTTTGTTTATTTTGAATGGAACAAAATCAGCATTGATTGCATTTGATTAAAACAGAGTAAATATTAATTAGGTTGATTAACATAGCATTTAAGAACAACAAAGGTCCTGTTCATCATCAAGGCTGTCCCATCCACTTAAAAACATTAAATTATATCCAGCCCTGATCATTTAAATATTTGTGAACCCTTCCTTTAGATTCCTATAAATTTACTGCATCTATCACATCTGAAGGCAACCAATTCCAAAAGCCAACCATCCTGTTAGAGAAGAAAAACTGGCTAAGCTGAAGATGGCTTTTACCCTGAAAAAACTTATATCTTTATCCCTTTGTTTTACCAGTCTCACCATTAAATGCAGAAAAAGATGACGCATCTATAATGGCAATTCTCTTAATAATTTTTAACACCTTAATCCCCTCTTAACCTTTCATGAGAAAAAAAATTACAGAAAGCTTATACTGTCTTTGTATGACAATTTTCATTCTAGTTGCCCTCTTTTGAATCATTTCTGACAATTTAATGACCTGCTTAAAAAAAAAGGAGCCCAATACTGAGTATACTGCTCCAGATGAGGCACAGCTAGTGACCTATACAATGAGATGATAACCTCTTTGTTTTACATTCAATATTTCTGTATATACAATCCAAAATTCTAAGGTTATTCCCATCAGAATTATACTTATAATCTAAATTATGATAACCTTGCATTTATTGTAAGTAAACACAGAACAGATAAATTTGGGTCCATTTTGAACAAAGTGTGATAAGTATTGGTTGGGATTGAAACCATGGGGTACAGATTAACAGTTTTACCTGTACTTCAGGCCGAAGTAGAAACAGTGACCTCCCAGCTGGAAGAAATGGACAGTAGAGCTACTCAAGCAGCAAAAAGTACAAGTAATCTTGAGATGCAGCTTAATGAAGCTCAGGTAAGCATAATTGATTAAGTTTTTAGTTTTTTGTACTTTTCATTCTCTAAATATTACTAATAAATAATTTAAATGGACGTACGAAATATAGTTTTTCATTCATATCTTAACATGGCCTGGTGGTTAAGGAAACTGAACTCACAATCTGTAGGTCGCAGGTTCAAATCTTATCACTGAACATGTTCACCCCTTTCAGTCACCAGTGCATTCTTTGTTGACAGTGCATGGTGTTGATTAACTGTCTTCCCTCTAGTCTTTTGCTTCAAAATTAGGAATGGCTAACACAGATAGCCCTTGAGTAGCTTTATACAAAATTCAACAAATAGAATTTTTCATTCAGTTATGTTTTATCTTTTTTAATAAACAGTTCAAACAATTGTATGAATTTCATAATAATTTGTCAGTATTTCTTTGAAAACATACTCTGATAACATACAGTATAATAACTTTAACCTATAAGGTTATACCTAACAATGAATTACAATTAAAGTACTGTTTCAATATTTTTATGACAAAAACTCACACAAAATTTATAAGTTCAATGCATTAGTATGTAACAGTTGCATTTGTTTTTAAACGATTTTCTAATAAAGAATAACACAAAATATGTTGAGTACTACATAACATTTTAAAATGTTGTTTTGTAGGATCTGTTACAAGAAGAGACAAGGCAGAAGTTAGCCCTTAGTTCTAAGCTTAGACAATTAGAGAGTGATAGAGATACTCTTCAAGAACAACTGGAAGAGGAAGAGGAGGCGAAGAAGAATTTAGTAAAACAGATTTCTACATTAAGTCAACAGGTTAATCAGTTGGTTTTCTTTTGTTCTGTCAAATTTTTGGATTTAATTATCAATTGTCTGGTAAAGAGAAATAAACTGTTCTCATAGTTTTAAAATTTGATCTGAATAATCATAGAAAACAATAACATGTATTAAAGTTCATATTAATAGAGAAAATTTATAAAATTGCAATAACTAAGATTGATAGGAAGTTTCAGTTTTTTTGCTTTCATTTGGTTCTGAGTAAAAGCTTTAATAACAAAACTTCCAAGGATATCTGAATCTGTTCATGAGTATTTCCTTTGGAAAAATTTTAATTGTATGATTAGATGCAAGATTTGAAAAAGAAAGCAGATCAAGCAGATGAACTTTCCACCACATTAGAAGAACAAAAAAAGAAAATGGGTAAAGACTTAGAGGCTCTCCAGAGGCAGATAGAGGAACTACAGTCCATAAATGATAAACTGGAAAAGTCTAAAAAGAAGCTTCAGTCTGAGGTAACCTAAAACCTGTTTTATACTATCTAAATTTCTGAGCATTTTAAGATTATTCTGCAAACCCATAATTTTTTTTAAATATTAGCCTTTATATTTTTAATTAGAATTTCTATTGTATTTCAATATATTTTTCACTAAATATTAGCTTATTGTAATATGGTTTGTGCATTATTTTTGCAACAAAATGAATATTTATTTTTGCAATTCTTTCTATGCATATAGAGAATATAAATATGAAGGGAGTAAAATTAGCAATTATAAATACCTAGAATATGAATTAGACAAAACACGTTTTTGGAGGATGTTACAATAGAGTTTGGAGCCATTAGACTCATTTTTTATCTGTATAAGGAGGATACTAATTTTTTTGTCTTTTAACAAGGATATTGCTATAGATTTGGAAAACCAGCAGACTAATTTTTTGTTTGCTAAGGAGGGTATTGCTCTAGATTTTGACAAAATAGTAGAATAAAGCTGTACATGAATAATGAACTAAATTCATTATTCCAAAACATACTTACCTCCGCTGACACTTATAGCTATTACTCGACTGCCATGGTTTCAACTTTGCCCATCTAAGCATTAGTCTGATTATTTCTCACTTGCTCCAGTCTTTTATACTCCACACAATTGCCCTTGGTGATATTTGTCTCGTGATACTCTCCATTTACGTCAATGCACCCACTATCCTAGTGTTGTATATAAGTACCCATTCAGATAATGTTATCATTTTTTGTCAGCAAAAGTGCTGCAATAGTTAACGTCCTTAGTGGAAATTTTCGTGTCGCCTAGTGGCTTTCTGTATAATTTATCTTTAATAATTATTATTAAAAACAAATTGCTCTGAGGCTGCTTTTGCCAATGATCCAGGACAGTCTGGAGAGAATTTGGATTCTCTTTTTCTGGTACCTTTGTTTACTGGATTGGCTTCTCACAAGGCCAATTTGGATCAGCCACCTTTTGCTCCATTTCTTCAGCTAGTCAGTCAGGTTTATGAGGTTTTAGGTTTTGGGGCTTTCTTCAGTTGCCTTTGAATTACTCCTTCCTTGATGGCTGAAAGATCTGAGGGTGACTACTTAGTTTTCCTCCTTCACCTGATGATGCTGTTCATGCTGGGAGATTTACTGCTCAATTACGTGACAGGATAGCTATGCCTTGTCCCCCATGCTTGTCTGAACAGCATGCTTTGGCTTACCACTGCCAGGAGGATGTATGTTTAGATTCCCAAAGAATTGATCTCCTTTCTGATATGTGGGGTTCTAGACTTGACCCTGTGATCACTTTGAACAGATTACAATTTTCTCGAATTTGTTTAACCTTTACTACTGTTCTGAGATATTTATCTTTTCTCCAAGTTTTGTCAGAAGCCTATAAGCATTCCCCACATCAATTTGAGGACGAAATGGATCCCTTTCTGACTTCTGCCTTGGTAAGATTGTCAGCTTCTGCTCTTTCCTTGGTTTTCTGGCTTATATGTTGTTGAAGTGTTGTTGTATACCTGCTGAAGCCCTCTGTGAGTTACGTGAGGCTCCTTTTCCCAGAGGCATTGGAATCATGAATTGATGTTGCCCTTTGCATTGTTTTTTGTCGTCATTAGCTTCTAGACTTTCTTTGGCTTCTGCTGGAAGTCATGGTATGAATGCTCGTAATGTGTCCCAACCCTTGGCTTCTGCTTCTCAATTTATTGGTACTCAAAATATATTCCATTCTTAACTTTGAGGCTCCTCTGCTCAGGCAAACCGTCAAGAATGGTGTTGGTGACTACCCTGTGCAGGTGAGGTCTGGGGGAGTGAGGTTACAACATTTTCTAGACACTTGTAATTCCTTCACCACTGATCTATGGGTACTTCAGGTTCTGGTGTCAGGGTTGGTCATTTGGCTCACTTCTCCACCTCTGTTATCCTCCCAGTCAGTAGTATTTCCATCCCCAACAAATCCACGGAGTATAGATCTTTGTTCCAAGGCTATCAGAGAGTTTTTGGTCAAGGGGGGCATCATCCAGTCACCTTAATCAGGAGAAACATCTTAGATCTTGAGTAGTGGTTGGATCAGACAAACACTACCAACAGTGTTCCTATACAGCCCCCTCGTCTCGAGATTCATTTCTTCACAGATGGCTCACTTTAAAGATGGAGTGCATATATCGACAGTCAGGAATTCCAGAGTTTATGGATGGAAGACGAACCTACCTTCCAAACCAATATTTTAAAACTTCTTGCTGTTCAGCGAGCAATGGTTCAAAATCTCGATCTATTGAAGGGGGAAATCATCATGAGTCATTTTGACAATTCCACAGTGGTCTCTTACATTTCCCATCAAGGGAGCACATGTTCTCTGTACCTTTGTTTTCGAACTTTGGATATTCTCTACTGGGCTCACTCCCATCATATCAGCCTCCTGGTTTGCCATGTTCCAGAGGGGATGAATTTAATAGCAGATCACTTGTCTCAGCCCAACTGAATTCTCTTGACCGAATGGATGCTCCATCTCAAGGCTTTCTGGTAGATTTGCTCTCAGTTCAGGACTCTAATAACTGATGCATTTGCCACTCAATGGAATTCTCAACTACAGGCATTTTAGTCCCTGGTGCCTCGTCTTCTGGCTTTGGTGATAGATGCATTCTGTCAAGATTGGACAGGATTGCACTTCTATGCCTTTCCCCCAATTTGTCTGTTACCCAGAGTTCTTGTTATGATCCGATCCACTACTTATCAAGTAGTGTTGGTAGCCCTAGCTTGGCTGGCCCAACCATGGTTTCTTCTTATACAGTATCTTCAAAAGTGTCCACTTCTGCCACTTCCTCTTTGGCCATCTCTGTTGATGCAACCACAATCCAACATTCTGCACCTAGACATTCCCCAGCTCAAACTTCATGTATAGAAGTTATGTGGTTCTTTGAACAGCATCGGGATTGAACTTCCAAAGTTGCCTTGTATTTGTCTCTATCTGTCCTCAGACCTACAATGGCCATTTATCAATGGAATTGGCACACTTTTTGCTAGTGATGTCTCGCGAGGAAATTGAACCCACTTCACCCAAATGTGCCCACCATATCTCGTTTTTTGACCTGGCTTTTTGACAAAGGTCTAGCTTCATCTACTGTTGCTTTATATAAGGCAGCTTTATCAACTACTTTTTGATATTCTAAAAATCAGAAAGTATTTGAATTCCCAGTGCTATCCAGCCTTCTCAAATCATTTATAGTCCTTTGTCCCAAATGGCCTTTTCCATTACCTACCTGGGATATTAAGGTGGTATTACATGCTTTGTCATGACATGCATTCAAGCCTTTGGCCTCATGTACCATGTATCACTTTTCTCTTAAAGTGTATTTTTTGTTCCTGCTGGCATGTGAATGTCATAGTTGTTTGCACTACATGTGCACAGGACTCTTTATCACTCTACTTATGTTCTGCTATACCCTGATAGATCTTTTCTACCTAAGACTCTGGCAGACAGGGAAGGGGATAAATCCTTCTCACCAATTCATTTGCCAGCTATTTATCACCTCTATGACCGATCAGACCCAGATTGTTTGTTATGTCCTGTCAGAGCCCTGAGGTGTTATGTGGCTCACACTAACTCCTTTCGAGGTGCTATAAATTGACTCTTTATTCATTGGGATCCTTCAGTTTCCCGATTACTTTGACGAAGTGGCTTTGGAAATTGATTCATATTGCTTATTCTTTACTTTCTTTACAGGCAAGGAAACTTTTGCGAGTCACATCCCATCAGATTTTTCACATTTCTATGTCTTCAGCTGCCCAATTGAATTGTCTGCTGGAGGATATCGTGTAGGCTGGTATGTGAATTTCTCCCAATGTGGCTGTTTTGACCACATCTGCTAGATTATAAGGAGAGGGAGAGTATTTTTCTCTCCTCCTCTTGTCTCTTTACTTTCCAGGGTCCCTTACCTTTTTTTTTTCACTGGATCCTGCTTTGTGGCAAGTGTTGTTCAGACAGGTGTGCTTTTATCCATCCAGTTCCACACTAGCAATCAATTTAACTATACTTACTACCAGTTACAACAGGCTCTGTAGAAATGAGGTGTTCCATAAGACCATCTAGGAGCTCACTAGATGGTATTACTATTTTATGCTGGACCTCCACTCATTACTATCATGAGTAAAGCTAAAGGGGATCCTGTCCATCCCTGCCAATCATTGGATTGAATAGATCAAGGTCAATTTGCTTTTAAAAATTTAGGGAACATGGTTCACCTATTGTGCTGTTCCTCAGGACTCCTCAACTCACATTACCCCCTAGCTTCTACTAGTGGAGCTAGGAAGTCCTTACCTCATGGTCTACACCCAGTTCCAGTCACTGGGGTGGTGGACAGGGGCTTTTCCACCAAAGCGTTCAAGTGATTTCCTCTGCATCTTGGAAAAGAGGGTTAAGTTGGGGGCCCTCCTACTCTTGTCCATGGATGTTTTTTTTCCATATGTTAGTAGGAGCAGCACCAGCCTATGCAGGAGCCTACTCATAATACCAGTTCAGATTTAATGCTTGGCTATCTGGTTGGGGTGTACATGGCCCTTCTCTTGATCAATATTGGAAGGAGATGCACTACCTCCTCGTAATTCCTAATGCAAAGTGGTCCCATCCTGTGACCTTGATTGAGCATGGTGTTCCATGTCTTCTACATAATTCTGGAGATGAGTGGAAGGCTCCTTGCCCACTTGATTGGGGAGTGAGAATGAATGTTCATAATTCTACACCTGATGAGTTTTGTTCCTTCGGTAGAGTAAAGCATACATGATCCCGTCATTCCAAGCTTGGGGTGTTGCCTTTCAGGCTTTTTCAGGTGGAGAAGTTTGTCTGCTTCGGTGTTGCTTACTTTCTCATACTGATTCCGGTGGTTTGTAACTCATCACTCTATGACTACAGGTTGGATTCCAATCAAAACTGTATCTATATATAACATTGAAGTCCAATTGCCCTAGCCACCAATGAGAGATATAGGGACCAAGACCCCTTAATTCCAACCCCGAGTTGTGGAACTTGGTTGGTGCTGGCCTATAGTGATGATACAGGAACTAAGTTCAGAGTGAAGAGTATACTTGTTCTGGATGTAGTGTGGTTCCCCTACTTGGGTACCACTCTTATCTTGGTACACCCTTGATCTATGCAGACACTTTCTGTATATATATACTGTCCTCATCAGCCTCTCCACCTTCTTAATGTGGGATTCTAGCTATACGTGGCAGCAGAGGTAAGTATATTTTCGAAGTTAATATTTTCCTAAATTGAAAATATATTTCCAATAATACTTACCTCCACAGACACTCTCCCGCCCTTCCTCCCCAATAAGAGCTGGTGTTAGAGACTGGAATTGAGTCAGTCTTGAAAAAGTGATAAAATTATATGAATGAGGTGCTTATATACAGTGCCAGGATAGAGGGTGCATTGACATAGGTGGAGAGTATCGCGAGACAAATATCACCAAGGGCAACTGAGTGGGGTATAAAAGACTGGATCAAGTGAGAAAAAATTAGACCAATGCTTAGATGGGCACAGATGAAACCCTGGCAGTCTATCTATAATTACATTAGTCATATCTATACATACAGAGGAAGATTTTTATCACTAATAAAGCTGAAATGTAATAGTTTGATTAATTATAAATAAATTAATTATCTGTTTACATATGGAGAATAATAAAGTACAGGTAAAAAACCAGCAATTAATGAGATCAGTGGATAATATGTTAATGATTTTTTGTAAATATGAATTAGCAGTGAGAAGATTGAGAACCAGAATACTAAAATGTGAAATGAAATGTGAATTAGATTGTTTGTCTGCACATAGAAAATAATGAAGTGGAGGTGAAAATATAATGTGAAAATTTAGATGAAATAGGATTTTGTCAGTAGTTAGAGTATTTTGATATTTTAGTTTCTTAACTGTAGTATAAAATTAAATAGGAAGTAATTTAATCATTTTTTTATAGGTTGAGGACTTAAATGTGGAGCTAGACAGCCAGAGAACTAAAATATCAGAGTTGGAGAAAAAACAGAGAAAGTTTGACCAAATGTTAGCTGAAGAGAAAGCAGTTTCTGAGAGAATTTCTCAGGAGAGAGACAATGCTGAGCGAGAAGTTAGAGAGAAGGAGACAAAGATTTTATCTCTAACTCGTGATGTGGATGTGAAGCAAGATCTACTAGAAGAACAAGAACGTCTTCGTAAGCAGCTGCAGTCAGAACTGGATGACTTAATGAACAGCCAAGGTACTGCTGACAAAAATGTAAGTTGTATTTTAGTCTTTTATGAATTATATTGTTATTTTGTTTATTGAATGTTAACATGATGTTCTTTTTTATCAGTTAGTATGTATATAAAAAAACTGTTATGTGATTTAATTTCTATTAAAGTAGTTTCTAAAACTTAAAAGTACTTATTTAAAAAAAAAAGATGCAACTCACAGTGTTAAAGCCAATCAACTTTTGCCAGTGCGAGTGTTTTTGTGGTCATAAGATCCATATGGAAAATTAATAATACAGGTTGTTTCAAGCATTCAAATCACTGTCTACAGATATATTTTTCATTGATAAAAGATCTTATTAAAAAGGATGAATATTCATGTTTTAGATGCTTATTCATTTCCATTAAGTATCCACATTAGTAAGATATAATTGTGGTTCATGTTAGTGTGATATTTTGTGTAGAGTCAGCTTGTTGATTTTCATTGATAGCTCTATATTACAGCAACATTGAATAAACATACAAGTTTTTAGTTTTCTTTATTTTTGGATTTTTCTTTCGTATTATTGTAATATAAATTTGAAAATATAGATAACTTAGGATAAGTAATTTGGATCATCTGTTGCATAATATAATTATTAAAAGGTTCATGAACTGGAGAAGGCAAAGCGTGTATTGGAAAGTCAACTGGCTGAACAGAAAACACAGATTGAAGAACTTGAGGATGAGCTTCAGCTCACAGAAGATGCAAAATTGAGGCTTGAGGTAAACATGCAAGCTATGAAATCACAGTTTGAACGAGATCTTCAAGCCAAAGATGAGCAAGCTGAGGAGAAGAGAAAAGCACTAATAAAACAGGTTTGTATGAGTTTAATTATTGGTATATAAACAGGTTCAACAATAGATAAAACTAATCAAAGAGGTTTGTATTTGTGTACGTATTACTATACAAACAGGTCTACCAATATAATAGTTAAAGCTGATTAAACAGATTTGTATGTATTTAGTTTACAGGTTTACCACTTTAATAATTAAAAGCAATTTAATGGGTTTTTGTGTGTTTTTTTATTACCATACAAACAGGTTTACTAGTATAATAGTTAAAACTAATTAAACAGGTTTGTATGTATTTATTTATTAATATAAAAACAGGTTTACCAATATAATAGTTAAAACTGATCAAACACATTTATAGTGTTAGAAAAACAAGATTTTGTATCATAGTTAAGATTGATCAAACCTGTTTCTGTATATACACCAAATAATCAAGTTTTTAAAAGTATTGCCAACACTTAACAGAAGGGTTGTATCTAGCACTAAACAAACATGTCAACATTCTAATTAACATGAATAAAAAAAACATTTTTTCCTCATTTTCCTAATTAATATTTTAGTTTCACTTGTAGTATTGATTTGTTTGCCTAAAGACCACAAATCAAGGAGGTATATCTATATACCAAGCACAAATCAAACAGGTATGTCTGTGTAATAGTGCTCAAATCAAATAGGTATATCTATATAACTAGCACAAATTAAACAAGTGTATCTGTATAACTACTCAAATCAAGAACATATATGTATATAACTAGCACAAATTAAACAAGTGTATCTGTATAACTACTCAAATCAAGAACATATATCTATATAACTAGCACAAATTAAACAAGTGTATCTGTATAACTACTCAAATCAAGAACAATTGTTTAATTTGTGCTTGATATATAGATATAGTGTATCTGTATAACTACTCAAATCAAGAACATATATCTATATATCTAGCACAAATTAAATGGGTGTCTATAACTAGCTTAAATAAAACATATGTATAACTGACACAAATAAAACAGGTATATCTATATAAGTAGCACAAATAAAGCAGCTATATCTGTATAAAAACACAAGTAAAACAGGTATATCTGTATAAAAACACAAGTAAAACTGGTATATCTGTATAAAAACACAAGTAAAACTGGTATATCTGTATCAAAACACAAGTAAAACAGGTATATCTGTATCAAAACACAAATAAAGCAGCTATATATGTATAAAAACACAAGTAAAATTTATATATGTATGAGTAGTACGATATTAATTCTGCCATTGTACTAGTTCAAACTAAGCATGTTCATTTGTCCTTCTAGCAAAGAATGGAACATATTAATCAGTTCTGTATTTAGCACTAGCTTTCTGTATATGTTGTATAAATTAGACAAGTTTATGTGTTTAACTAGCACAAACTAAATGGATATATTTGTGGGTGATTAGAGTGGATCTAATATAGTAGGTTCATTAGTTTTTAGTTAACACTAATGTAATTTTTTGTCAGTGTGTAATTACTATTAGAATTTGTACAAAATATACAGATTTGTCATAACATTTTAGTTTTTAATTATCAAGATTCTTTCACTTCAGTAATTTAATACTAACTAATTAAGTAAATTTGTTGGTGATCTTGAATGGCATTGAATCTTCGTATGTCAGCTTTAGATCATTACATCGACTAATGATAAGAATTATGTATTAATAGATTGCAAGCTAAAACATTATGTTCTTTAAAAGGTTTACAGAATTTTCATGTAACATATAGAACACTTTTCTATAATTGAAAATGTTATGCCAACAAATTATTTACTGTTTTAAAATTATTGTTTATATTTCCATCGTAAATAATAAATAAAAATAAATAAATAAATTTATTAAATTATAATAAATCAATAATTCTCATAGTATTTCCCAGAGAATTTTGAATGTACTTGTATAGTTGTATTTCCATTTTCATACAAGTAAATAAGATATTGTTTCTGTAATTTTCAAAAGCTATATCTAAGTAAATAATTCTAGGAACCTCTGAACTTAATTCAAATATATTAATTTTTATGAATTACTCGTGATTTAAATTAGCCTCAAAGAAATACTGTAAGTAAAGTTGCTCATCATGAAATCTGCAAAATAATACGTCATTTAATGTTTTCAATTTAATCCCATGCTGCTGGGGAAAATCCATCAAGCTAATTAATTGAAAGAAAAACGTTGTAGCAGTAGCAACATTTGAAGCAATCACATTTCTTTGGGCTTAGGGCCGGCATGGCCAGGTGGCTAGGGCACTCGACTCACAATCTGTGGGTTGCGGGTTCGAATCCCCTTCACACCAAACATGCTCGCCCTTTCAGCTGTGGGGGCGTTATAATGTTATGGTCAATCCCACTAATC